TATTAAGTAATAAAATTACCTGACTGAATATGAGACGTTCAACCGCATTTAAGAATTCGCTTTCTTCGCGCCTTATGTTCGCTTCTGGCCTGATCGGCTATAAAGAAAGGCACCGTCCCGGGATGCTTTCGCGACAGTTTCCACGGGTATAGGGAGATGATTCAACACGTATTGTTAATTGGCTTAGCGGATGCATAAATGCATTCAATAACTGATTAGGTTGGTCTACACTTACGATATCTGTAGCACAATCTCTTGACTGCATTCGGCTCGGTTCGTCTGGGGCATCCTTTACGGTAGGCTCGAAAATTTTGATTTTGACTCTTCCATCAATTAGTACCCAACACTGTTGACCATCTGAATAACTTCAGACACTAACCTCGATTCAAAGCAGTTAGATTACAGTTTGGATATACAATCAGTAGACGTTATATATAGAACAATAAATGCATCAATAAGAGTTAGTTAACCCCGGACGAAGTGTATACAGATTCTAGCCAGTCATAAACGTATAAAATTCAATTACTTAATAAATTTTTACACCCGAGAGAATCCGAATTATTGCGACCTTTTTTTTTCATTTTCAAGGAATTAAGCAATTCGGGATCTTTAGGCAATCGTGAACAATTTCACTTCGTACATGAATTAATCATTTATATATACACATTTTCTGTATAAAAGTTTTCAATTTTCATATATATTGTACCTTGTGCCGTTTAAAGGATTTTATTAGATTAGAACATATTCCATCATTGTATAATGAGTAGTATAAATTATTGATATTAAGATGTCTATTTCTCCTGGTATAAATAATTCACATAGTATGTACGCTGAAAAAGGAATTAGGTGGCCCCTTGGACGAATACTAACAGATATAGATAACTCAAATCAATTAACGACGGTTAAGACGTCTAAAACGTGGGTATTGCCTCCAAGGCCAAAGCCTGGCAGAAAGCCAACTAATGAAAAAATCGAAACCTGTAAAGAAAAAAAGAGAAGACCCAAAAATAGTCCTACGATAATAGAAGAAAAGTCAGCATCATCTTCGCCACAAGCAAGCCAATTACCAATACAACCTGCTAGTAAGCAACAAATAACAGGATTGCAGCAATCATCGAGATGCCAATCTATGCCAAAACAACAAAAACAACCAACATGTGTGGGAAAGGGGGAAATTCATGAGTTGAATAAAAACATATCGATCATTGAAAAGGAAAATAGTCAATTGAAGACACATTTGTTATCGTTGATTCATGATTATAAGCATTTGAAAAACTTAGTATTAAACAAACCTCAATCCTTACCGCATCATTTAGCATTCGAAGACACCACCACAGCAAGGAAACGGTCGTTCACTGAATTGGTCAATGTAGACCCTATGAACGAATTGATCTGTAACATGAGTGACTTGTCATATTCTCCAATAACCACAGGAGCTAGCAATATAGAGCCGTCATCACCTATAGAAGACACAGATTCGGAACTGGATGAAGTATTCAACTATATTAACTTGGATAACTATATATACGATGAAGATGGAGATGAAGAAGATGAAGATACTGGGTCTCTGGAATTATCCAGAACGACATCTCCATCCTTAATGTCTGAAACTGACGGTGAAAATTCCTTAATGACCACTTTAACAAGATCTACGACCGTTTCCACTAATAACTCAATGATGAACGAAAAAAGGATACATAAAGATGAACCATTTAAGTTCTATTCTTTACCAGAATTTTCAACGAAAGATTATGAATTTTCTTTCGACGAAATTAATCCAAATGACAAAAAGATGTCAATTATCCAAGAAGACAAATACAATATGATTACAGACTTCCTAGAAGAAAAACTAATTGATAACGATTTAAACTACTACGTCCAAAATGAATCATTCAAGCATTAGTTTTAATTTAATGACTTTCACGCCCTATTTATTATCAATATAAAATATTATTTACTTTACTATTGTAGCATTATACGGGCGTTCCGCCTGTAGAACACATTGCAATTCATTAATAAGCCCATAGAGTTAATAGAGAAATGTTTCCGTATTCTAATTTGATTTGGGAAAATCTACCGAAAATTGTTTTTCAGGAGGAACCAACACAAAACTAATTCGGTCATTAAACTCACCGAAATTTACCGCTTGCTTGAATTAACGTAGATATATAAACGATCATCTGACAGAATGGATACTATTAGTGAATACTTGGAATTTCCAATTGATTTTAAAGGCCAAGAGAAGACTGAAGATATTGTACACAAATCTAACTATTTAATTATCCCAATTTCCTTAATCGTTGGTTGGTTTACGCAAGATTTATTTTTAACAGTTGTTACATTTTTAGTCCAGTTTGCGATTGTTTTATTAATTGTTTTACCTAATTGGCCGTTATACAACAAAAACCCAGTTAGTTGGATACAGATCAAATATGAGTTATGAAAAGTCGAAGGATCTATTCTTGGGATTTGATTTATCAACCCAACAATTGAAGATTATTGCGACGAATGAAAATTTAGAACACTTAGAGACATTCCATGTCGAGTTTGATGATTTATACAAAGAGAAATATGGAATCAAGAAGGGAGTTATTAGTAATGATGAAACTGGTGAAATTGTGTCTCCGGTAGCTATGTGGTTAGATGCTTTGGATACTATATTTGGAAAGATGAAAGAGAAGGAGTTTCCGTTTAATAAAGTAAGGGGGATTAGTGGATCCGGACAACAGCATGGATCGGTGTACTGGTCCAATAATGCTCCTACATTAATGCAAAACTTGAACACGGATAGCCCTCTTAGCGAACAATTGAAGGATGCATTCACATTTGAAAATTCACCAAACTGGCAGGATCATTCAACAGGAGAAGAAATCAAGACGTTTGAAGAAGCCGTGGGTGGTAGTGACCAATTGGCAGACATAACCGGGTCTCGCGCCCATTATAGATTTACTGGTTTACAGATTAGAAAACTAGCTGTTAGAACCAACCCTTCAAAGTATAAAGAAACTTATAGAATTTCGTTGGTTTCGAGTTTCATGGCTAGTGTACTTTTAGGAGAGATCACTAACATTGAACAAGCAGAGGCTTGTGGAATGAATCTTTATGATATCAAGAAGAACGACTATGACGACGAATTGTTATCGTTGGCAGCTGGAGTTCATCCAACTAAAGATGGTGCAACTAAAGAACAGACGAAAGCCGGTGTCTCCGAATTGAAAAAGAAGTTGGGTGAAATTAAACCTATTTCTTATGAAAACTCTGGAGATATATCTCCATATTTTGTTAATAAGTATGGATTTAATTCAGACGTTAAAATTTATTCTTTCACAGGTGACAATTTGGCTACAATAATTTCATTACCTTTGGCACCCAATGATATTTTAACTTCTTTGGGTACTTCGACAACAGTATTATTGATTACTGAGAACTATATTCCATCTTCCCAATATCATTTATTTAAACATCCTACTATGCCTAATAACTATATGGGTATGATTTGTTACTGTAATGGCTCATTGGCAAGAGAAAAGATTCGCGATTCAGTAAACGAGAAGAATGGGGTCAAAGATTCTAAGAGTTGGGATAAGTTTAATGAGTTATTAGATTCTTCCGATACGTTTAATAATGAATTGGGTATTTACTTCCCATTAGGTGAAATTGTTCCAAATGCTTCAGCCCAGTATAAAAGATGCAAATTAGATGACCAAAATAAACTAATTACTGTAGACTCTTGGGACGTTGAAGAAGATGTAAGTTCAATTGTCGAGTCGCAAACCTTAAGTTGCAGATTGAGAGCTGGACCAATGATAAGTAGTTCTGGGTCAGCTAATTCTACCCCAAGTCCTGAATCATCTGGTTCACGCAAATTATACCAAGATTTGCATCAAAGGTTTGGCGATTTATATACTGATGGTAAGAAGCAAACTTTTGAATCATTGACCTCCAGACCACACAAAGTTTTCTTCGTTGGTGGTGCATCCAATAATATAAGTATAGTGAAGAAAATGGGTTCCATTTTGGGTCCTACTGATGGTAACTATAAGGTAGAAATCCCAAATGCTTGTGCATTAGGTGGCGCATATAAAGCAAGTTGGAGTCATCACTGTGAATCAGAGGAAAAATGGATTAATTATGATACTTACATTAATAAGTATTTTAATTTTAAAGAATTGGATACTATTAAAGTCAAAGATCACTGGCAAGATTACTTTACGGGTATGGGAATGTTAGCTAAGATGGAACAAGAATTAAAACATGATTAGATTCTCACTGTATTTTTTTTCTCTATATATTTCTCACAAAAAAATTTCGCTGTAATAAATATACATTTCGATACTGAGTATGATATCTAGGTTTGCACGTATACCTGCTAGATCATTAGGTATCCAAAAATACCGATATGCGTCTACGAATCATTCTCTATCTAATTTGTATAAGCAAATATCTCAACATGGCCAAATAGATCAGAGTCAACTCACAAAAATCAATGACATTGTAAAAAATTCACAAAGTAATTTTGAACAAAACCAGAAACAAGAGGATATAGACTCTATTCATGATTTGATCAAGCTCGTCAAGTCTCATGGAGAATTGAAAAATATTGAAAAATCTGATATAATTAATAATTTACTTTCATATGGTCTCAAACATGATTTTTCATTGTATCACACAGCGAAGAAAATCGAGAGCCATAAATGGTCATCTGATGCATTAACTAGTCTTATTGACTCAAACCCAGGTAGAGTAGATCAGTCTTGGGATTTGTATTTAAGACACGGTAAAGATATCGAAAACGATACGCTCTATTCTAAGATTTTGGAGAAATTGTTGTTAGGCGAAAAAATTGAAATCAGCGATAATGAGTTTGAAATTGATATTGGTAAGCTAGCTAAGTCATTAGCTCTTGTTGATAAGTTAAGCTCTCCAGAAGATAGTGGTCAAATAGAGAATCTATTAAAAGGTTTAATTGACCTAAAAGTGCTTTCAGGTCTTTCATTAAGTGGCTTAAAGAATGGATCCATTGAAACTAAATTAATGCAAATGGATTTAGATAGCTTGTCATTTTTAAAGATTTTCAGCATGATTTTCTATGAAAACCCTGATATATTAGCGAAGGAAGCATTATGTAAAGCGCTTACGATTTCTCATCAATTAGACGAAAATTTGGTCAATGAAGATAATGATATTGAAAGTAAGAACTTTCAAATGTTGCGTGATGAATATTCGAAGATTTCTCAGGTCAATGAAGTAGAATACAGTGAGTTTAATCATGACTCGATAATTAAGTTACGTAAAGATTTACTTTCGTATATTGAAGAAAATAGGTTAGATATGGATAAAACACCAGAATCCATTCTTATTAGAATGAAATTAATTGAGACTTACGGCATGGATACTAATGATATCAAATTGGCATTGGCAAAATATCACACTTACCAAACGCATGAGAAATTTGGTATTGAATTTATTCAGCATAAGCTAATCCAATCCTTTTGCTACCAGGCTATAAGGGAAAGCAATGAGCATTATTTGAAAATAGCTGAAACATTGCTTACTGTCGAAAATATTCCAATTAAGGTGTTGCAATGTTACATATTAGCAAATTCTGAATTCAACATCGACAAATCCTTAGACGTCTACAACGATTATATTCAAAACGTTTCTCAATCCATCAATGAACATAGTGGAAGATCACCATCGGGATTAATGACTGAGTCATTAATGTTATGTAATTTATATCATAACGACAGAGAATTTGCCTACTTACTATTTGATAAAGCGGTTGCGAATGGCATATTGTCTGACGAACATGAAATTTCCATAATCAAGAAATTATTCAAGGTTTACGGTGACTCATTTGTTGAAGACAATTGGGATTGCGCAAAGCCTATTTTGAAGAAGTACGTCTTAAACTCTATTAGGTCCTTGTAAATAATATATGAAAATGAATTGAACAAAATACTGTAGAAGATTTGATGCGATACTAGATTTACTAAAAGGGAAATTTAAGCGCAATTGAGTCATAAGTCAGGTGCAATCCAATATATATATTCATTGAAATTTATAGATTTAAGCTTATTACAATTTAAGATTAACATATTTAATAGATACACTATGTCAAACCCTGTTACTTTACACTTAAGAGCTGAAACCAAGCCATTGGAAGCTAGAGCTGCTTTAACTCCATCAACTACTAAGCAATTGATAGATGCTGGCTTCAAAATATACGTTGAAAAGAGCTCGCAATCAACATTTGCTGCTGACGAATACGAGAAGGTCGGTGCTACTATTGTACCAGAAGGATCTTGGAAAGAAGCTCCTAAAGACAGAATAATCTTTGGATTAAAAGAATTACCAGAAAATGAAACATTCCCATTAGTACATGAACATATCCAATTTGCTCACTGTTATAAAGATCAAGCTGGATGGAAAGATGTCTTGAGAAGATTCCCAGAAGGCAAAGGTACTTTATACGACTTAGAATTTTTGGAAAATGATCAAGGTAGAAGAGTTGCTGCATTCGGTTTCTACGCAGGTTTTGCTGGTGCTGCCATTGGGGTAATGGACTGGGCTTTCAAACAAACCCACTCTGATGATGAAAATATACATGGCGTCACCCCATACCCAAATGAAGACGAATTAATCGCAGATGTTAAAAAGGTATTAGATGAAGCATTGAAGAAGAATGGTGGTGAATATCCAAAATGTTTAGTTATTGGTGCTTTAGGTAGATGCGGATCTGGTGCCCTTGACTTCTTCAAGAAGGTTGGTATTCCAGATGAAAATCTTATCAAGTGGGATATGAAAGAAACCGCTAAAGGAGGACCATTCAGAGAAATTGTTGATTCTGATATTTTTATTAACTGTATCTATTTATCTCAACCAATTCCTCCATTTGTTGACTACGATAGCTTAAATGTACCAGACAGAAAATTGAGAACTATTGTTGATGTCTCTGCTGATACTACTAATCCCCATAACCCAATCCCTGTCTATAGTATTGCAACTGTATTCAATGATCCAACAGTTCCAGTTGAAACCACCGCTGGTCCAAAGTTGTCTGTTTGCTCAATTGACCACTTACCATCTTTATTGCCAAGAGAAGCCTCCGAATTCTTTGCTAAAGACTTAATGCCTTCTTTGTTAGATTTGCCTAATAGGGATACCTCTCCTGTGTGGGTCAGAGCTAAGCAATTATTTGACAAACACGTTGCCAGATTAGATTAAGTGTCAATGAACTTAAAAATGCTTTCGCTACTTTAAATGACAAATTCCGTATATTATAATATAAGAAATTAAATATTTTGATTAATTATGTATTCTCTATTCTAAGGTGACACTGACTTTTGTCTTCTTGTTCTTCTTACCCTTCTTTTTACCCTTCAACATAACCTTCTTGATTTCTTCACCGTCAGTTTCGTATTCTGATTCTGCATCTTCCTTTTCTGGAATCTCATTGAAGCGTCTTTTCATAGTAGACGATTTTTCAACCGTTTCAGGGCATGTTACCACACAGTTCAATCTTTCACCACTATCGTAAATTGCCACTTGATCTCTAACAGATTCGGATACGTCCCATATAACGATTTTACCATCAGATGAAACTGATACTAAATATGGGACATCGTTAGTTTCAACTGGATGGTGAATCAATGATAAATCCTTAATACGGTTCGTGTGTCCTCTTAATGTAAAAACTGGTTCAATGCTTTCAGCCTTGGCTTCCCAGATCTTCTTTTCATCTGCCTCTGGTTCCCTTTGTGTAGTCAACTGTTCCTTGAAATCAAAGAAATCAATACATCCATTACTATGCCCTGTAACAAGCCATTCCTTTCCTTCTATAGAAAGGTCTTCCATGCACATCAAAGTTGAATTGAATTTGATTTTTTTAATAATTTTAGCATTCGAAGTTTCGTAGACTAATAATTGGTTTAATAAACCAACCATGAAGTATTTACCATCTTGTGACCACCTCACATATTCACCACATTGTCCTAAATGATCTCTACCTTTGATTTTCAAGACAGCTGCTTTTTTGGCTGTCATTAAATTCCATAATCTGATAGTTTGATCTTGTGAAACTGAAATAGCAACACGTCCCGATGGATGGATAGCTAAATCATTAACACGGCCTTGATGGCCCTTCAAAGTGCTGAATGTTTCCCAGTCCTTAGTTCTCCATATTATAATTTTTCCGTCTTCAGATCCAGACAAGAGCCATTTTCCAGACTTATCTGTCGATTCGTGCTTCTGTGATTCGTCTGAAATACCTTCGTTAGAAAACTTCAATGTTGTCACAGTTCCCTGGTGACTCAACAAGGTACCTAATTCTTTTCTTTTCTGTAAATCGTATATTCTAATATGTTCATCATTCGATCCAGTTACTAAGTATCTCTTTGCTAAATCAATTGATTTGATCGAGAGTGAGTGTGCTTGAAAATGAAATATTGGTTGAAATACTGGTTGAGATTTGTTAAAAAGGACTGATAAACACAATAAGTTGTGTTCGTAAGACCCTACCATGATACGAAATTGAACATTTTTTGTTGGTTTCGAACTTTCTGGTAACTTTTCTGTTTCTGCAACTTTTGGAAGGTTTTCTTCGACCTCCTTAGCTTTATGATCATTGATTTTGACCTTTTTCGAACCCTTAGAACCCATAATTAATACCTATTTCTAATATTTGCAATTGTCATCTCATCTAGAAGACATAATCTTTTCTATAGCGATGAGCCAAAAAAATACAAATGTCGCATCTCATGAAATTTACGACATTCATCATCAGTGGTTTGTTTTGATAATATTTGCGGCAAGCATAATAATCAAATTGATAATCTAGCGATTGATAAAAGATTTAGTGTAATATTCATATTGTTAGAAGGATTTTGGTGAAAGAAATCGAAGAATCCAACTAGAGAAAAATGGTGCATAATCAAAAGACTCCATCACAACATAATTCTACACTTTTTATTTCACCAGTTATCAATAATCGCCGACAAGATTTATTCATTACTCCGCCAAACCCACCGGCAACACTATTTGATACACCTGGATCCAATCAGTCGCTGTTTTTTCACTTAGAGAGGTCCAATTTGCATGAAGAACAAAAACAGGTACATGATGCTGAACCACTTACACAAGCAGAAAAGTTAAGACTATGGAGACATGATGCATTGATGCAGCATCATTATACCACGGCTGAGTATATAGGGGACAAAGTTTTGGCATTGACGGATGATCCAAATGACGCATTTTGGCTTGCACAGGTGTATTTCAATAGTGGAAATTACTTACGAGCAAAGCATCTTTTGACTAGCAAGCCAGAATTCGAAAAGTCTGTCAGTTGTCGATATTTGGCGGCGTATTGTTTGCTAAAGCTAGAATTATGGGACGATGCACTCGACTTGATAGGAGAATCCAATCCATTTAGGAAGGACGACAATTATCAAGTAAGAAATAGTGATGGAGGGATTAAATTAGAAGCGTCAATGTGTTACTTGAGAGGACTTTTATATGCCAATCAAAACAATTTTGAAAAAGCAAAGGAATCGTACAAAGAGGCTGTTTTGGTCGATGTTAAGTGTTATGAAGCCTTTCATGAATTGATATCGAACAATTTGATGACTCCAAGTGAAGAATGGGCATTTATAACTTCATTAAATTATAGAGATGCAGATGACAACGATGAACTTATTAAATTATTATACACCACAAATTTAAGTAAATATTTGAATGTGCAAAAATTTGAAGAAGCAGAAAATATTTTGAAAGAAGAGTACGATTTAGGAGAGAATTGCGATATCTTATTGAGTAAGGCCGAATATCTTTATGTTCAATGTAATTTTGACGAATGTTTGGCTACGTATGAAAAAATTTTATCGAAGGATCCGTATAATTTCAATGTATTGCCAAACTATTTGAGTTGCTTGCATGAACTTGGAGGAAAAAACAAACTATTCTTAAAGGCACACCAATTGGCTGAAAATCATCCTAATAATCCAATGACCTGGTTATCCATTGGGGTATATTACTTGTCTATAAATAAGATTATTGAAGCAAGAAAATTTTTTAGTAAAGCAACATTATTAAACCCTAATTTTGGCCATGCCTGGATAGGATTTGCCCATACATTTGCAGCCGAAGGAGAACACGAACAAGCAATTAGTGCGTATGCATTTGCTGCTAGATTATTTCCTGGTTCACATTTACCTAACTTATTTTTAGGCATGCAACATCTCCAGATGAATAATTTAAACTTATCAGAAGAATATTTAATCGTTTCGTCACAGATATGTAACTCGGATCCCTTGGTCTTGAACGAGTTAGGAGTCATCAACTTTTATAAAAATGATTTAATGAAAGCTGAGCTTTATTTTCAAGAGGCACTTGGTGCTGCTAAGCATTTAAATTCAGATTCTAAAATATGGATTTCGATACACGCTAATTTGGGCCATGTGTTTAGAAAAGGAAACCGCCCTTATAAAGCATTGGAATGCTTCAATCAGGTATTGAAGATTAGCCATGCGAATGATTCCAACATTCTATCAGCCATGGGGCTTATCTATTTGAAATTAGGAAATATATTCAAAGCTATCGATATACTTCATGATGCCCTCGCCATTTCGCCCTCAGATCCAGTGGCTTCCGATTTATTGAAACGGGCCTTGGAGTCTAACAAAACAAATACTTCATTATTTTTGAACAATACGAGCGAGAAGTTATTAGAATTAAACATGCCAACTTTACAATATAGATCTAGAAAGAACAAATCAAAATCAAGTCTGCATCTTGCAGATATAACAACTTCAAACAACAAGCTTACAACGCCAATAAATAACAAGACAAAGAACTTATCGAATGCCTCGAGAAGAGATGACGTGCTTCCAGATAGTTTTATCCTGAGAGAACGTAATGATCTGATTGAAGGAGATATAAATTCAGTTGCACATGATTTAAGGAAGGGAGAAGAATCTAGTGATGAAGAAGATGAAGTAATGGATATAGAGAGTGATTAGTAGTATATATACGAAATATTAACGAATATAATGTGCATAATTTTTTTTTAATTGTTCATATCTTATCACCTGATTGCAACATACGCTTATATCTAAAATAGGTACAAAACTAATAATAAACAAAAATACAATAGATGAATACTAATATATCGTCTAAATAAAATCGGGAAATCCTTTCTAATAATACGTCATATTATATTGATTTAGGTGCTTTCAAAGAATTTTCTCTGTTTTCGAAACTAGAGGACTAATCTACACTCCAATCTTAGCATACCGAAGTGAATCGCCCCTGCATTAGTACCATCATTAAATCCAATATTTAACCAATCAATGAACCATTGAAGTTATGAATACACTTTCACCTATCTCGAATAATCAACAATCTAAAGAACTTCAAATATTAAATATCAACTTCAATCAAGACCAAGGATGCTTCGCCGTGGGCCACGAGCATGGGTTTCTAGTCTATAATACCAACCCCATTGACTTGAGAGTGAAGAGAAATTTCAATACAAATGGGCATGGCTCAGGAATCGCACATATTACAATGCTTCATAGAACCAATTATTTGGCATTAGTGGGTGGGGGAAAAAACCCGAAGTTTGCAAATAATAAATTGGTGATATGGGATGATTTGAAGCGGAAAAACAGTTTGAACTTGGAATTTATGAGTCCTGTGCTCAATGTTTTATTATCAAGAATTCGGATAATAGTAGTTTTGAAGAACCAAGTCATAGTGTATGGTTTTTCATCACCCCCTAAGAAATTTGCTACCTACGAGACAATAGAGAATGAATTCGGGTTGGCAGATTTATCCGTTAATTCTACTAATTCAATAGGAAACAATTTGTCTACGTCAAATTCTTCTATTTCGTCATTGGTTTCTAATCAAGTGTTATATGATAGTAACAAATATCAAACTCTTGCATTTCCTGGTCGATCAATTGGCCAAATCCAGTTAGTTGATGTATCACCATCAGGTCAAGAGAAAAACTTAGTAAGTATAATTAAAGCTCATAAATCAAAAATAAGATGTCTTGCACTAAACAGATCCGGTACATTAGTGGCTTCAGCGTCTGAAACAGGCACAATCATAAGAGTTCATTCGACTCATAATACTGCTTTGTTATATGAATTTAGGAGAGGTTTAGACAGAGCTATAATTACCTCAATGAAATTTTCGGATGATGATTCAAAGTTAGCTGTCTTATCGGACAAGAATACATTGCATGTTTATAACGTCTCTGCGTTGAATGCTAATCTGGGAGCAGCTAGTGATTTTGCAACTCATCATGAGACTTATCCTGTAAATAGACAGCATTTACTAGGAAATATTGCATTTCCTATCCCTATTCCAAAGTATTTCAAATCCACATGGTCATTTTGCTCTGTTAATACAAATAAATATCATCCAAGTGGTTCGGATAACGATACCATAAACGATGTGGGTATCATAGGATGGTCTGGGAATGACAGTATCATTATTGTCTGGCAAAACAAAAAGATTTGGGAGAAATATGTGATAGTTGAAAAGCGTCATAAGTCTCCAACTGATATTAATGATGGTTTAAATACTAGCCATCAAGGAAATTCTAACTGGGAGTTAGTGAGGTTTAATTGGAAAAATCTTGATAATTTGGACTGAGCTATATACATCATTATTTAATTATTTACATTCATTAATTGGACAAAGCATGATCTTTATATACTATTTAATCAACAATTTCACATAGTATAGGTTCGTAAATTTTTTTCTCTTTTTCAGATTGAACACTTTCCCACTTTTTACCATGGAAATTACGAACAAACCTTTGAGCATTCTCCCTATTAGCGAATCTAATTAGATTTAAGTGCACTTGGTTTACTGGATCGTTTATAATTGTAGTAAAACAATTTGAAAATTTTGCTAATGGAGCTAGCTCGTAATCCCATAATAATTTGGGTAATGCATGTTTGGATAACCCAAATGGTAGATTTCGAACTAAAACCAGTGCAATACGAGTATTGGTATCGATTAAGTCGACTATTGGAGCATATAAAGGATCCACATCAATAGTTTGATAATTTTCAATCTCCTGCTTCTCCAAATGCATAATTTGCTTTATTATAGACGACTTATTCGTCGAATATTGAAAAATATTCTGTATTGGAGTGCTCCCCACCGTTTTCTCTATTCGTAACTTATGATTCTTCAACAGGTCATTTATAGAACCGTCCAATAAAGGTGATGACATGTACTTCAATTCGTTTGCTGTGGCCCCCACAAACTCTAGGTTCAAGTCGAACCCATTAATTTGCTTGCCCACTGTCTCCATCCAATAGACACACGCATGCTTATAGTTAGGAAATATAAGGTAATAAGCACCAGTGGGCAAAAGATTTATTGGATTCCGAGACTTGACAACCTTGAACCGTATTCCCTTCCTGATCTCATCAGATAAATAGTATTTCCGTTCCCTATTGATAGGATATATGTTGTAGAAATCATTGTAACTGATAAAAGAATTCTGGCACTTAAATTTCAAAATATTGGATTTCTTCCGAAGTGCATTCGTTTTGGGCAAGTCTTCAACTGCAGTTTCCAAAGGTTTCTGTTTCCACTCATTTTCCATCAATCCGTCTAATATGGATCTCTTAGCCTTGTCATTACCCGAAGTCTCATCCAGTTGGTACAAATATTTGCTTACTATCGGCACCTTCGTCGCAACTTCTGTAGAAGTAGTGGTATATAATAAATTAAGAAGCCTATTAGAAGCCCCTTTTGACAATTTAGAACTCATAGAAGTCCACCAGCGTATTCATAAACTGTAATTGCAAATGTATAATCTGGTTATTGTTAAGTCTTGTAACTTTTCAAAAAGAGACCACAAAACTACTGCAGTATTTTTTTTGTCGTGAATAGCCTTACGGGAGAAAATTAATACACAGTTTAGACAGCTTAATATTGATATTGGGTTATCTTGACTTAAATAAAGAGTTCTTATTAGATTTGGTGAAGACCCAATATAATCTAATATCTTGTATCTTAATTAAGAGCAAGTCGCCGATAAAAATATAAGTATAACACTAGTTTTTTAATTATCTATCCAAAGGCCCTCGTGCATTATCATAATAGTTGTGAAGACGTGCTTATCAATTCTTTTTTTTAAGATTTGATTCATATAAGTGTTTGATACAAGTGAAATGTCTTCGGAAACAATATGGTCGAATAATGGTACGTCGCCGATACAATCTTCGACAGGTGCTAATCAATATCGAAGTGTGTTAGATCAAGTAGACCCCGAGGTGGCCAAGATGTTGGCCAACTCCAACTCGAATCCGATGATTTCTGGTGATGGAGACAGCCATAGCAGAAGATTTTCGTTTAACGACGGTAGTGATATAGATGGGAATTTTTTTGGTTTCAAAAAGGGTTCCTTATCTGCAATTACGGCGCCAGTCGGAACGTATGCTGGTAGTAATAACGGGAACAACACAGGTCCTCAGCGTATAAACTTTGGTACTGCCTCGATAAGTGGTGGGATTGCCAGTAGACATCCGCCGCAAGACAGCTTTTTACAAAAGTTTTCGTCTGTTGCTGATGCCACAAGAGATATTGAGTTATCTAATAACTTAGGAAAGATATCCCTCGACGCACCAAATTCGAGGAGAACAAGCTTTAACAACACAGACGCATCTAATAATATGACACCGTTAGGAGATGTTGGTATCTTGAGTACGCCTCATGGATCTTTAAATGAAAACTTGAATATGCCTGTTCCAAGAACATCTAGACATCAATCGATTAGTGAAAAAATTGATAGCTACAACAACAGTTCTCCTATTCAAGCTGGTGCTGCTTTATCAGTTAATTCAGATTTAAACAGTAATTCGAACGACCAGGCTGCTACCATGCGTCCCCCACAAGCTCCTCATACGTTTTGGAATCCTGCAACGGCTACATCCTTCACTCCTAATAACTCATATGGGTATTTTATGGAAAATAATGGTTTGCAGGGTGCACCCGTCCCTCCTCAAAATTTCAATCCTTACAGTCGTAATGGTCCAAGTGTTCCACCACTTAGCCCTCCTCCTTTCATGATTCCATCGCCGCCGGCACAGTTTATGGATCCTGGTCTATACAGTATGATGAACTATGGTGTCAGCGATAACTTACCTGACAGTGAACATCGAGATGAGAATGACAATAGTGATGATACTAAGACCGGTGATGCGAATAACCGACAGGAAGCGAAACAAAAAGATGTAACAAGAAAGGCACATACTCCAGGTATTGGTCTAATGAACCGTCAAGCGCCAGCGGGGCCAGGCTTTATGTTTCAACCTTTCAATCCTTACTCGCTTTATCAACAGTCTTCCCCTCCTGTGGGTATGTCGCCAGTTAATGCTCCACCAGTCGCCGATGCAGTTAATTCAAATTCAGGAAATCCATCACTCGATGATGGGACTCCAAAGAACGTATCTTCTACTCAACTGGGACGCGTGTCACATGCAGCTCCCTCGAATGGTAAGCGTAAGGGCAACTCAAGGAACACTTCCTCGTCTGGTAAAGGAAGTAATCATATTTATAGATCACCTTTACTTGAGGAAATTCGTTCTAATTTCAAAGGCAAAGAGTACTTTTTGAAAGATATCTATGGACATGCAGTTGAATTTACGAAAGATCAACATGGATCTCGTTTTATTCAACAAAAATTACCAGAATCGAGCGATGAAGAGAAAGAAGTAATTTTCAACGAAATAAGAGATATCTCGTATGATTTAATGACTGACGTTTTTGGTAATTATGTTATACAAAAGTATTTCGAACATGGATCTCCTATTCAAAAGAAAATCTTGTTAGACTGTATGATTGGTCATATTTATGAATTGTCTTTACAGACATTTGGGTGTCGTGTTGTTCAAAGAGCGTTAGAGGCGATTGATTTAAGTGGTCAAATTCAAATTATTGAAGAATTAAAAGATTACATCTTGGTTTGTGCTAAGGACCAAAATGGTAATCACGTTATTCAAAAATCTATTGAAACAATTCCTTTTGATCGTATCAAGTTTGTCTTAGAATCGTTGGATAACCAAATATACCATTTGTCAACCCATCCTTATGGTTGCAGAGTAATCCAGCGTTTATTAGAACATTCGAATGCTGAAGACAGAAAGAAGATATTAGGCGAGTTGAATAGATTCATTTTCTATTTGATTCAAGACCAATATGGTAATTACGTTATGCAACATACTTTAGAACGTGGTAATCCAGAAGATAGAGAAGAAATTTTGAAAATTGTCTTAGGATCAGTAGTTAACTTTTCCAAGCACAAGTTTGCTTCAAATGTTATTGAAAAATGTATTAAATTTGGTACTTTGGATCAGAGAAGACGCATACTACATGAAGTCATGATTGGAAATGAAGATTACAATGTTGAAACTGTCAGTGACGATTCAGCTTTAGCATTAATGATGAAGGACCAATATGCCAATTATGTTATCCAGAAATTGGTTGAAGGTTTCGATGCTAAAAGCGACGAGAAGAAAATCTTGGTAGTGAAATTGAGACAATATTTAAAGCAAATTTCTTCCAAAAATAATTATGGCAAGCATTTAGCTTCAGTTGAAAAAATGATTATAGTTGCAGAAACAGCATTGGTTGAGGCAGAAAAAAGTACATAAGGCTGTCACTTGATTAATTATATTTATTAAAGATTACTAAATTCTGTTTTTTTGCTAAGGTGGAACAATGGTCTTAATCATGCGATTATCACAACTGTATTTGATGTTCTGCCGTTTTCGTTTATTTTTTGTATATAGATTTTCTCTAATTGTAAATCGATTTCTTATTTCATCGCTCTTCTATTGTTTATACTCTTACTGTTAATAATTTTGTATATATGTGTTTATAAATAAAATTCTCTAAAAATTACTGTACATATATTGTAATCGTTACATAAATAGATTATACACTCCAGGTAGTATAATTAAATTATAAACCATAACGCAGAAACTATATTTTAATATCATCATCGTCATTTAAAGTTGAACTTCTTTAAATCTAGTTACCAATTTCAAATGAAACAGTTCCCATATTTCACCATTGCATTCATGATCACCGATTTCACTTCTATACAATTCCCTAATCTGGTCACACAGTATTGCTCTTGCCCTATTGGTGTCGTCAGCCTTTATACACACAACAAAATCATATAACGTAATCCATTTCAAAACCTTGGGCTCTGTAACACAACTAGTAGAATTCAATTCATCTTCCGTTATCAACACCCTTTGGGAAGGGTCTGAAGATAATAAAGAATTTTGAAGTATTGAATTTTCCTTCAGAAACTTTGAGTCTAATACATCTTCGTCATCCGATACAGCCAAAGAACTAAAATTTGATGAATCACCGTTGATGTTATCGAAACTCTTCCTCAACTGATTTAAACTAAGTAAAGAAGAGGAGTTTGTGTTCAACGAAAATGTTCTTGCGGTACTCTTTATATCTGACGTGGTCAATTTAACCAAGTTTTCATTCAAATGGCTTAAATCAGCACCAATGGATCCACCTGGATGCTTCATAGAAAAAAGTTTCTTTCTTTTCAAAGCATCCTCTTCAATCATCTCTGATAAAGCCAATATTGTAGCATCTGCTAAGACCATGGATAGCGTAGCTGACACTGTTGGGGCTGGTATTCCATGAATTGATTCCTCATTCAAGTTTGAAGGCAAATCAGCATATAACATAGAGTTAACCTGAGGGTGGTTGGACAACTTCGAATTCCTACTGCACGTCAAAAGAATTATAGGAATCGACTTCGGAATATGCGGTAATAATTGCAAGAGTTCAGGTGTGTTTCCACTTGCAGTTACAAATATCAATGCATCGTTCTCCCGTATTATTCCAAGATCACCATGTAATCCTTCAGATGCGTGGAGTGCCGCAGATTGAATAGATAACGAGTTTAAAGTTGCTACTAATTTGCTGGATATCTTGAAACTCTTACCGATCCCCGAAACCACTACTTTTCCTCCCCTTAATATACTCTGAAAAAGTATTTCCAACGAATTCAATAAGTTAATCTGTGAATAACCCGACTTGCTGTATTGGTCGACCAAATGGCTCATCGCCTCCCTTTGGCTCCCCAAAGTCTTGTTTATAGAGTTCAACGCCCTCTCTGCTCTTCTTTCATATACGCATTTATCCATTAGTGTCTATTCGTTTTCCTCTTCCAACCACTGATATATTTTATGAAAATTTTGTCTCTTTTGAATCATTATCAATACGCTGATATTACTAATTATTCCACAGTTTTACGCAAGCAGAGCCGCACACTTTTTTTTTCTATTCGTTCGCATTTTAAACTTGGCCGTTGGCGCACAACTGATAATGACTACTCAAACTCTAATATATTCAATATTAGTTACAAGCGAGATATTTTACTCTATGTAGTATTAAATTGGAGGGGAATTAAGTTCGCTTACAAATAAACACAGATGACACCATTCAGAAGATGATACCATAGCCATATTTGCGCATACATGTAATTCAGGTGTATGAATTGAATTCCAAAGCAGAAAATAACTCATTATCGTTGTTCGATAAATATTCGTACGTATCTCCACTTTGGTTCTTATAATCCCTAGTATTGGAACTTAATGAATCAAATTGTAATTGTTGTAAGAACGCCTGAGTGGTGTTCATGTTAGCAGTCGAATTTGCATTCGTACTCGCATTTTTATCCTGCTCTTCTCTTAGATCTTGGTGATTTTGGATAGTCTTTTCACGTAAAGTGATAATCTGTCTCGCTCTGTGTGCCCAGTTAGATGTATAGGAGCCCGTTACACTTGAATGCCAGACGGATGCAAATAAGTCTGCTGATATGGCCAAATTTCGGATGAAAATCGGAAGCTGGTCTTCGGAAATAATTTTGAAGTGACAAGTTGCAAAGACTCCGGGAACGCCTGACCTTCTGTAGGTCTTGATTTTAAAGTATTTTTGATAATTGGATCCAATATAGCTATTTACAGACCCTTCTTGAATTTGAGGGGTCGATGAGTTGGATTCGACATTACTGGGGTTTCCTTTTACTGCTATCAACGACGACGATGGTGTATGGGAAGAAATGACAATGTTTAAAAAATTGAATTGAGACTTGATCACATTGAAATTAAATGGTAGTCCTGAGTCATCAAAGAATATGTTAACATAATTATTTCCGATGTGCCTCTTTTTGAAATCAAAGTACTTGTCATTATCATTTTGAGGCATCATGGTTGCAGTATGGAAGATAAGCTGTGTAGTTTTGTCGTTCCAGAATAATGCGTATTCTCCATCCGTATTATTCTCGTTATCTAGGCCCCCTAGGTAGATATCCTTACAACCCTTCAACTTAATCAATCCCCCTAAATTATCTAATAAATACTGATAGTCATGCGATCCGACTTTATTGCCTAATATCTCGATCTCCTCTGATTGATTAGGCCCGATATATATTAAACCAACCTTATGGTATTCTATAACTGGGATTCGATCAAATGCGGATATTGCTCTTAATGTTACTGGTTCTTCAATCAAAGGTAACGGTTTAAATTTACTTTCTGTGTCCAAACTGCTAAAAATTTGTAAAAGCATATGATTTGAATTGAAAAGCGGTTTTAAATCAGGTCCGTTAGTCGAACTTGACTTTGAGGTTGGCATCCACTCCGGAATCATCGATGGGTCTAATTCAACACGAAATAGGGAAACACCTGTGGGTCGCCTAAATGTGAATAATGATTCGCCCGTAATCATATTCGTATCGATGCTAATAATGCTACAACCCAAAATCCATCTATTTGTACTCATATAGTTTTCGTGGCCAGAACTTTGTAGATTTTTTATTAATGCCTCGTTTACTCTTGACGGGTTCATTATCTTCAATGGCACATCCGCATAAGTGAATCGTGCAATCAAATCTAAATATGCTAGGGTTTGATCATTCAACAGTCTTCCATCATTACTCAACAAAATTAAATTTTTAATTAAAAATGATGATACCTGTTTCCTCTCGCTAAGATCCATTTTCAAGAACCAGCTTGAAATAACATTATAAGATACCGTAGATAAATATTCTGATAGTATAGGTGTAATCTTTGTCGCTTGAGTTGTTGGCGTTTGCTCGACTTCTGCATCAATCCCATGAGCTTGGAGAATGTCTTCTTGGAATTCATCAGTCGTCTTACGTTCTTTTATATCGTTAGCATATTCAATGTATTTGAATGCAATAGCAAAGACCCTCTTGTATTCATCAATAGTAAAACTGGAAGTTAGCGTTGGTAAATTAATTAACGACATCAAAAACTCTAATGTATGTGAACTAGCAAATGCACTAGTGACCCTTGTTTGCAACTTAGATAAAATTGCTGGTAACGATTTTTTAATAGACAATGGAATTGCATAGCAACATACAGTTAATATATTAATACAAGGAATAGCTGTTTTCTCCCACGAACTCAACCCAAATAGTAATGCCTTGATTATTTGATCCTCATCGTACTTCGAAAAAAAGTCATGATAACCAAGTAATGCTGACAATGTTCTCACAAATGCGACTTGTAGATTTGCTTTTGTTAGATGTTCAGGAAACGATAAACTCTTAGGCAAATTAAGCATGAGCTGATCACAAACAATGGTCTTCAATTTAACAATCTCTTCGGAATTATTCAAGAATAACGTCATATTTGCTAATTGGGAACAGAAATGTGCCCAAACATAGGAATATACTTCCCAATTTATAAATTTTGACATGATTTCTAAAACTATTGCGAACCATTTAGATATATCAATACTATACTCATCATCAGCAAATATCATCCTAATGCCGTTAGGGTTGAACAATTTCAAGCTCTTAGATGGTTGGTTAAAATATTTCTCCGGTAAGTAATCAAGCGTTTCTGGATATGCCCATTGGAAAATAATTTCCTTATTGAAATCTATGTCCTGAGTATTTCTGCCAAAAGTTGTCGCCAACCCATCCATATCCATGGGCTTACTAAAGAATATTAATCTCTCGCTAGTAACTCTTAATCTTACCAAACACTTACATAAAATCAATAGCAAGTCTGCATCTTCGACTGCTAATGCATATTGACATATTATTATTATCAAACGAAAAACTTCTTGTGCCTTCGCTCCATCTTCAGTCGATGAAATCAAAAAAACACGTATAATAGATTCTGTTACAGTTTGCAAAAACGACGATGAAAAATTGCTATACTGTTCGTATGCACCACTTGCCTGAGAAGTTGATCCTAGAGAACTCATGGATACTAAGCTTCTACGCCTCTCTAAATTAGTTTTCACCTGAAACCCTGGCATAAATACCTTAGATAGCTCATTGAAAAATGACAACAGTGATCTTAATGCAATATCAGTAAGAAAGTTATCAGCTAAATATCTGGTAATTCTCTCGTCTTGTTCAATGACAGATTTTTTAAATATATCAAAAATTATTTCATAATTAACGACACTTTCATCAAATATAGACATAGATATATCGTGGCCCTCTTTTACAACTTTCAAAGTCTCAAGTCTAATATCCAACATTTGTTCACCATCCATATGTTCACTACTAAATTTCGTAGAAGTAGAACCTGTCTTAATAGTCGGTGGATAATAAAAATAATCCAAAAGTCTAACACAATTCTCCTTCCACAATGGATTTAAAAGAGAGCACATTTTTTCTTCCGAATAATATGTTAAAACAAATTTAATATTGCTTGCAGATAGGTATTGGTGATGGCTCATGAAGAAATTGACCAACTTCTCTTTTGGAGAATGTAACTCATGGCTCTCATACAATTCTTGTAAAGAAAAGCATATCGATTTCAAGTAATTAAGGTCTTGTTCTGAGTTTATCTTAAAACACGCTAAAACGTCATATAATGAGAACGCATTCGAATACCATAACTGAAATGGTAATAATTTATCAAACAGAATCTTGGCGCCAAATTCTTCGTCAATCTGTCCTGAAAATAATCTATCAAAAGATCTTAAATAAGCTGTATTTATAATAGGAATGTTATAAGAAATTGCTTTTTGTGCAGTTTTGAACATTAAGATGTATGAACCATCTATTACTGATCTGTTTTCCAAACAACTAATTACAATAATTCTTTCCAATAATTGAATTGAACCCAAGCATGTAACTAGTGACCTACTTAAATCCTTGGTACTGCTATGAGAGTTAATTGTGACATTTGACCGTACTGAAGACAATATATTCGAGTAGTTGATAGACTCCATTGATTTATAATGCTGTACCTCATTATTCAGAGCAATATCACAGAGATTTGATATGACAATCTGCAAATTTTGTTCCATACACAAATTGTTAATCAAATCCCAAGTTAGCCTAGTGAAGTCATCATTTAAACCGTAGATAGAGCAGACAAATTCAATAGTATCATGATAACATTTCTGTGGGATAATACCAAACACAGCAACCGATTGAAGTAATTCTAAACATTCTATTATTATTTGAGGGTTACTTGTTCTTGATGCTATAGATATAATTTGAAATAATATTGACGTAACTGAAGATTCATCAATATAGCTGAAACTAAACCTGAGGCAATTCTTAGTCAATTGTATTATCTCTAGCAAATTTTGAAATGCATTATTATCCGATAACGTTTCTTCGTCGTCTCTATCGGTATAATACTTGGCAGACTTTCCCAATACAAATAAGCATTGTTCAATAAACCGATTAAGATTATTTTCCTTGTCGTAGATACAAAAATCATGGATGTCTCGTCCGTCATTCGTCAACACCTTGAGAGCTTTCAAGAATAGATCCAAATCAGGGTCTATCTTATTTTCATTTAACTGACAAAATGACGCAATGTCTTTAAAATACATTAATCTAATGCTAACAGATGCCGTGTCGTCTTGCTTGATGCATTCAATTAGCAAATCAAGAGCGGACCGTCTAATATAGGACTGAATTCTTGAATCACACATATCTCTCGCTAAATACCAAATTTCTGGTATTGATGAAATAGCGTAAGTTCTTAATGATTCAGTAACCTTTGATGCAGCTGAAGCTCTACGAGGCAATGGCCCATTTTGCAATTGACTTAACAACTTCTGTTGATCACTTCCACCTCCTATAATTGTTGGGTTTATCAGTATCGCTACATTCTTATTAGATGTAGATTTCAAAGATTTGGATATTGATTTAAAAACATTTCCTAACCCCGATGACCTTCCAAAACTTGGATGGTGAGTTGACATTTTTATACTCTATTATCATAAATTCTTATTTTCTATACTATTAACTATTAACTAGCAATTAGTCACAGGACAAAGGATATATATATGGAACTGAATTATAGTCTGATATAAATTTAAATTTTTAAATACATATTGACGTGCGAAAGCTACTTTTTTTTTACAGCTAATAATGTTATCTAATATTGTCAAATTAATAAATACCTTAAATCTAGCACCAGAAACGATAAACTCTATAATACAATGGTTTGGTACGTAATATTGCTCTTTCCTCCTCTAATTCTTCTTTTAATGCTTCTAAATCTGTTTCTCTTCTTCCAATATCAACATCAATGTTCTTGGCCCTAATGCAAAGAATCCAATTATTCTTCCATACTTTATGGCCTAAGTAAAATGTAACTAACACAACAAAGCCCAAATAGTTTTGAAAGAACCCTTCAGCGCTGGGGGATTCCCCTAATGGGAATAAAGAAACCCAAAATTCTGCAATCAAGACTAATGTATTTAAGGTGGCCCCATAAATCGATCCAATAACACCAGTTTGGGACTTGAAGCTCAATTCGTCACTTGATCTTCCCTTGACGTATAAAGCCCTTCTAAATCTTATGTGGGCTACACAAATGGACCACCAAGTGAAAATGGAACTTAAACCACTAATCAGTAGTAACCAGTTGAAAACGTCTTCTTGTTTGCCACTTGCTGCAATAAAACTCAATAAGCCAAATATATTTGTAATTATAATCGCAACTAATGGTCTACCTGCTCTGTCAATGTATCCACAAATTTTTGGGGCCAATCCTTGTTCAGCTAAAGCAGTCAATGTTCTTGATGTTGCATATACTGAGGAGGAACCAACTGAAATAACGGAAATCAAAATAACGGCATTCATAACAGATGGTAAGCCACCAATTCCTCCATTATTGATAGCAATGACAAATGGAGAAGCAGTTACATCAACTGAACTGGCACCTAACAATCTTTCGGAATTATAAGGCACTAAGAAACAAATCAAAGTTAAAGATATCATATAAAACATCAATATTCTCCAGAACACTTGCTTTGTTGCCCTTGGTATTGTAACCCTTGGATTATCTGTCTCAGCAGCGGTTAAACCGACTAACTCAGTACCTCCGAAAGAAAATGCAGAAGTAACAAATACTGAACTTACACCCTTAAATCCATTGGCAAACAAACCTGGATCATGCCAGTATTTAGCTCCTACATAATGACCATTTGGAGCACCTCCAGCTGCGATAACAATAGACACTATAATAAATCCAACGACTGCAAGAACCTTAATCGAAGAAAAGACAAATTCAGCCTCACCATAGGCTTTCACACCAAAGAAATTAATAGAAATGACAACGAGATAAAATATAAGTACCCATATATCAGGGTTGATAGATGTAGTCCAATATGTCATTGTGATAGAACCAGCAACCAATTCTAACGGTAACAAAACCAAAAATTGGAAAAAATAGTTCCATGCAACTGCAAATCCAACGGATGGATCAATGAACCTACTCGCATAAACGTTAAATGAACCTGAAATTGGAAAGGTCACAGCTAATTCACCCATGGCTTGAATGGTACAGAAGATAGCTGAACCTGTCAAGGCCCAAGCAATCAAAATACCCAAAGGACCACCTGTGTTTAATGCAGATCCTGACCCTATGAAAAGCCCTGTTCCTATCGAAGACCCTATAGCAATCATTTGCAAATGTCTCGATTTCAATTTTCTTTTTAAAGGCGATCTAGCGGTTCTTATGTTACCTTTTTGAACATCGTCCAACTTTTCTAAGTCTGCTTCTTCTTCTTCTTCGTATCCTTCATACCTTTTGAATGAATCTTTAAAGGATTGCCATTTGTTGTGCTCTTTTTTATCATCAAATATTGAAGAGCCACTTGACATCCCATTAGATAGAGGAATACTCTCGCTATTTTCAGATTCTACTTCTTTAGGTTGCATTTACTATCCTTTTATACTATTATCATTGATTTAGTAGGTATTCAAAAATTTTTTTTTTTCTATTAACATCGGTACACGGCATTTGCAACTTTCGCAGACCTAGAAAAACTATATACTATGACTCAATCTAACAACTATAGCCATGACCCAGCTACTTAATAAACTATATTTAAATATTCTAAAGCATAAAAGCTAAATTGAAAGCAATTTCAAAAAAAATATAAACAGATGAAATAAACCACTCGAAACCTTTACCACAATCTTAACCATAAAGCAAATCAACGATATAACAAAACCCACCACCCCAGGTAATTTTTTGAAGTATTCGTCTAAACCAAACAGGCTTTATTTTAATGAAAACATTTCCACAATTATACCCTTCACTCTCCACGCCAATACCCCATTTAATATTCTCTCTAACATTACAACCATTCCAGAAATTCCACCATTTGTGTCTTTCACACGTTTTCAATCTGATCAAGTTCTTCATTAATGGTCCAGTAGGACCACTGATATACTTGTATCCCCCTATGAACAGATGCTTTTGACGAGGATCATCGGGTGGTAGCATTTGATCACCCCAGTGTCCTGTGAAAGACAACCAATTTCCGTATTCCAACTCTCTACCTCTGTGTCTCGAATTAGTGTTATTCGCAGGATATACAAACGTACCATCATACGAATAAGCCAAATAATTCTTAGTAGGATTCCACAAAGGACCCCTGTCTGTGAAATCGGATAAAATACCATAGGGCAAATCATGTGGGTGCTGTCCCACCGAAACGTAATTTGCATGCGTTCCTCTGGCTGAAAATATTATAGGATGGGTGTTGTCAATCTCCCACTTTTCCAAGTTATGGTAATAATAGGCACCTCCTCCTCCATGGGCTGACATCCAAACTATCACAGGTACCCCATTGTAAAACCTTACTAAGGAATGCTCCCAATCACCTACGTGATTACCATAGGGACCTGATCCCATCACAAACGGTCCCAAATTGAAAGAATAGAAATAAAACCAAAAAGCATCTACCCACCCATTACCTTTGTCTACTACGATCAATGTTGCTGGAGCATCTTTAATCTCTCCGTCAATCAAAGAAGGTTTATTTTTTACTCCAGTAATCCATTCAGGGTCCTTATCGAAGTCTGTTCTTGACAGTAGAAATATATCTGGTACATTTGGTAGCTTTGATAACTTATTAATGTCCATTTCATCTTCAGTTCCTTCAACAACACTTCCGTTTCCATAAGTCACATAAAAATTGGTCACGTAGTCCTTGATATCATAAGGTAAGTATCTTTCTTCCGAATATAAATGAACCAATGGCGCATAATCAATGGCATACTGTGGTATCTCCCCGTTCTTCAACGTTCTTTCTTGTTTCTTTGGCTTACTCAGTATTGGTGGTAAATTCTTAGTAGGTGATTTTATAAGGTTCTTTATTTCAACCTTTTCTGTGCTAATGGACTCCATAATATAGTTATTTGCTGCCTCCCACAGAGGCATCATCGCCGCTTCTACCGCAAATACAAATATTAGTATGGATATCCAAAACGATATTATCATGCTATTATTCGTCGTTTCAAACTAGTCTCCATAAACAGTAGAAATAGGTTGTTATTCTGTTATATTTAACGGGTTGTACCGGTTTCTATTGATCATCATGTTTTGTATGCAGGTCGCTAGTCTTCTTAGTAGATAAGAGTAAAAGTGTTTATTATATATAAAGCAATTGAATCGAAAGTATATATTTATATTTGTATATGTCTATCGAAGTGAACTAAAAAACGAACACTTGGTCACCTAATTTTGAAACTGGCTTTCCCTTTTGGTAACCTAAACCAACAGCAGCCTTCTTCATAGCACTAATCATAGGTGGAGGACCACACAATAATAAGTTTGTGTCTTCAGAAGCCTTAGGTAAGTGGTTATCCATGATTTCTGGTGTAACAAAACCAACACCACCGGTCCAGTTATCAGGAGGAGTGTTTAAAACGTAGTAGATTTGGAATCTGTCTGGGTGTTCTCTTGCCATTTTGTTCAACTCTTCTTTCAACAAAATGTCATCTTCAGTGACGTTAGCATAAACCAAACTGACCTTAGTCCTGTCTTCTGGGTTTCTCAAGATTGCGGTTAAAATTTGGTACATTGGAGTAATACCGGTACCACCAGCAATCATTCCAAACGATTTAACCATACCTGGAGTATAGGTGAAGAACCCTTTTGGTCCTCTAATTTCAATAGTTTCTCCAATCTTCTTGGATTCAACGTGTCTTGAGATATTACCGTTTTCGTATGTCTTGATTAATAAATCAAAGTATCCTAATTCATCATCTGTGGAAATTGGAGTGTAAGATCTGACAATTTCCTTGTCATTAATAGTGGCTCCAATAACAATATGTTGACCAATTGGTAACCCTAATCTGTCGGTGGATCTTGGTAAGCCGAATCTATAGACGCATGTGTTGTGAGAAACCCTGGTCTTTTCAATCAATGGAAACTTTTGGAAATCATTTGGCTTTAACACTGGGGTATTCTTTCTGCTTAATTGAAAGTAATAATATGCTACAGCCGAAGAAATGATTGCTGCAACAGTAGCAAAAATAATGAAGGGGTTAGGCTCAGGTTGTGACATCTTGTTCTTGTAGATGGGTCTTTGACGCTTAGTTGTCCGAAAAATAAATATATTTGTTGGTTTTCTTTTTTGAACCAAATAATCCGCTTCGCATTACCCGGAATTATATTATCATGTTCATATGTTATTATTGATAGTTATGGGGTTTCTAAAGTGCATGTGTATATTATAAACTAAATAAAATTACTCTGCATTCGCTGATAAGTAGATAGTCCGTAATCGGCTTTTATTGAACTTCGATCGGCTGAAATATAGAAAAAAAATTCTTCCATATAGCACCCATAATATTTACAATAATTCATTTAGAAGTCCATTGATATCTAAGCCTGTTCATTGTCTTTATTCTCTTCTTCTTCTTCTTCTTCTTCTTCTTCCTCTGTACCATCATCAACACTCTTGACATTCCATTGACAGCTTACGTCCCATCTGGAGCCTTTGGCATTTATACTCACATATTTCACAAACTTAAGTACGGATGGATCTCTAAGCATTAAGCATAAGGAATTCCATTTGCATTGACTCGTGTACAACACACTATCGTCATTTGGATCGCTTGCTTTATATATAGCTGGATCGTCGTCCTCAAAATCGCTATCGTCACCTCCATTTAATGCCATGCACAATTCGTAGCCTCCGTATTCACCCAGTTCCCAGTTCTTTGGATTCGTGGCTGTAGGTGTTAAATTTAATGTAGCTTCAAGTAGCACGTTCAATTCGTCTGTATTAGGTCTGGCTAACAGTTTATCGGTCTTGGTGGCCAAAATGAAATCTTGCCCTGGTCTGAAGCGTCTTATTAATACCTGATCACTGGTAGGTATGACACTTGTAATGACTAAAAGCCATTTTCTGAATGCTACGGATCTCAAGAAGGAACCAAGATCACTTAATTTCTTATCAACTTCGTCATCTGAAATTCGCTTGATTAACTCGAAATTTGGTGCTTCTTGAGGACCAATCTTATTGATTTTCTTAATGCCTTCTTCGGATTGCTCAAAAACATCTCTCCCATCCATATACATAAAGCGCTGTTTGTGTGGTGGCATGGAACACTTCCATGGAAAGGTGATTTCCTTCGAATTAGCAGGAGTTTTCTTCTCTAATTCGGTGGTCTTAATTGATTCCTTTAATAAGTTGGCAAAATCTTCCTTCAAAATATCCTTGATTTCGACTACTGATTCTTCAAGGAAAATTTCATTCAATCCTTTAATATTTTGATCTTGCAAATATAAAGGATTCAAGTATTCTTTCAAATATTGTATTTCATCTTCGGAAAACTGATTTGATGCAAAATTTTCATATATCTTTAATTCCTCTGCGTGAATATCGCTCCTGAATGGTTTAGGAAAATCAAATTCTTGCAACTCCTTGCTTTGCAATTGCTGCAAGGTACTCCTGGATGTCGTTTCTTCTTGTTCCCCTGGTATATAACCTGCCTCTCTGAGTTGTGGAATGTGGAACCACCCTTGAATAGACAATCTCTGCTTGTCAACCCTCACTTCCTCTACGTCATGAAATGATAAACCTGGCTGAACAGTAAAAAATGCGATCTGATTAAATTGTGGTGTTAACTTCACTTCATGGTCAGTTTTTGGAACATTAGGCACAATTGCAGGAAATAGTCTCAATCCCCCACCATAATGAGGTTTCCATGTTTTGTCTGGATCGGGCAAATAAAGAATAAAACTAACTCTTCTTGATCCGATGACATCATCGTGTGTTAATAAATGGCATCCTTTGGTATAAGTATTTATCGACATATCTGTCTTACTACCGCTTAGTTTACCGCACCCAGTTATCTTAGAGATAACGTCACGAAACTCTTCTGAATAAACCGCAGAACGTAATTTGTATAATGAAGGTAATCTTGATAAATCGTCCCAATCTAATCCTGATAAATTTGCAAGATCCCCAGATTGATACACTCTATATATATCTGTCTCTTTTTTTGTAAATGCAATTTCACTTAAAACCTCTTTGCGTACCTGTCTTAATAATGTATCATCTATGAGATCCCTGATCGTTCCCCAACGGAATGGTTCACTATCTTTAACTTGAGTTTTTATGTCATCTTGAAACTTCTCATTCCAAACTTTCGCATTAAAAAAAGAATGAATATCCTGTTTATTATATGCTGTGTTTAACTTTTTATTGCTGTCATCTTCTTTATCTTCGACTGGTCTCTTTCCTGGCATCGTTAATGTACAATACTTGATTCTGTGACATACATATAAAGAAATATTTCAGACATAAATATTTTGAAAAATTTCGTTCGTTCACGTGCTCCTTAACCGGCGCTATTCTCCGATTGACTCATATGAATCATAGATAATTTTTCAATTTCAATAAATACTAGAGATTAACTCAACTTACCAATAGATTAAACTGGATCTATATATATTCATAGATATAAGCATTGAGATCTATATGAAAAACATATAAAAATGGTAAACTCACCTACATTATCAGCTCTGTCATATAATTCCGTTCTTGACTTCAAGAAGGTGAATAAAACTTCAAATTGGGTTATCCAAAAATTCGGTGGTACCTCAGTAGGTAAATTTCCTGAAAACATTGTGGATGATATAGCTAAAGTCTTTAGCCAGCAAAATAGAGTTGCGGTTGTCTGTTCTGCAAGATCTTCAAACACTAAGAGTGAAGGTACCACGTCCAGATTGATCAAGTCTGCCGATTTGGCCTCAGAGAACGGTGATTTCAATGCATTATTAAAAGTTATTGAACAAGACCATGTCGATAATGCTAAGAGTCGTATCTCTGACACAAAAATTCAAGAAGAATTAATTGAAAATACCTTGAAAGAATTAGAAAGGGCTCATGAATTGTTGAAGGCTTGTCAGGTTATTGGTGAAATAAGTGCAAGAACCTTAGATTCAATTATGTCTGTTGGTGAAAAGCTTTCGTGTCTCTTTATGGCTGCCTTGATGAATGATCGTGGCTTGAAGGCTACTTATGTTGATTTGTCGGATATTATTCCTTTGGATTATGACTTCACAAGTGGATTTGATGAGAAGTTTTATAAGTTCTTATCTACTGAATTAGGTAAAAAAGTACTTTCTCTTGATTCTGATGTTGTGCCAGTTCTTACTGGTTACTTTGGAGTTGTCCCTGGTGGATTATTGAATGGTGTAGGTAGGGGTTACACTGATTTATGCGCAGCATTGATTGCTGTTGGCACTCAAGCGGAAGAATTGCAGATTTGGAAAGAAGTTGATGGTATATTTACAGCAGATCCTAGGAAGGTTCCAAATGCCAGATTATTGGATAGTGTCACGCCAGAAGAAGCTGCTGAGCTTACTTACTATGGTTCTGAAGTTATTCATCCTTTTACTATGGAGCAAGTCATCAAAGCTAAAATTCCTATTAGAATTAAGAATGTGACAAACCCATGGGGTTCAGGTACTATCATTTTCCCAGATAATTTAGCTAGAAGAGGAGAAGAAACACCTCCACATCCACCAGCAGCCTATGAGACTTTGTCTAATTCATATATTGCTACACACAAGAAGAAATCTGCAACGGCAATTACTGCAAAACAAGACATTGTGGTCATTAATGTTCATTCAAACAAGAAAACCTTATCGCATGGATTTTTGGCTCACATTTTCACCACATTAGACAATTTCAAGCTAGTTGTTGATTTAATTTCGACTTCAGAAGTCCATGTATCAATGGCTCTCCAAATCCAACCAGATCAAGAAGTACACTTAAAAAATGCTTTGAAAGAATTGCGCAAAATGGGTACTGTTGATGTAACGAGAGATATGACAATTGTTTCGTTGGTTGGAAAACAAATGGTTAACTTTATTGGCATTGCAGGTAATATGTTTAAGGTATTAGCTGATGAAAGAATCAATATCGAAATGATTTCTCAAGGTGCAAATGAGATAAATATATCGGCAGTTATCAATGCCAAGGATACTTTAAGAGCCTTGCAATCTATTCATGCTAAATTACTAGAAGGTAATTATGACTTATTAGGTAAAACAGAAAGTGCCGTCGATACACGTTTAGAAGGCTTAAAATTGCAATAAGCTCTCTTGCAATATATACACATTCATTCAATGCATGCATCTTCGATTATAGAAGTCAACCATTCTTAATTCTAAAAAAATTTATAGACATAATTATTTATATAAAATCAATACAAGAAGTAATAATACTACCTACTACCTAATGTAACAAACTTTATAGACATTTATTACAAATTAAATATCAAAATCACCAGATTCTCGACTATTATTATTTCCACCTGACAGCTTGGCATTTTCATCAATAAAGCCTTCCATTTCACCAACCATTCCTCCTAACAACTCAGCGGCTAACTTATGGTAAGCCAATTGAGCTTTAACTAATTCAAGAAATTCTTCTAATGGTTTGGAATTTTCTAGCACGTTTTGTAAGATGTTGATAGCGTCTTCCACAGTGTTAGCAAAGTCGTCTTCTGCATTTTCCATGATAACACGCAAATTAGGTTCTTTTGAAGGATTTGAGCAGTTAGTCAAGTTCATACGAGACAAGTCGTAATCAATTCTCTTTTGTTCGACCTTCTTTTGGATATTATTGCTTTGAGAGATCAACTGGCGTAATGTTGTAGTCAATGGCTTGTTGAATTTCGATTTAATCAATTGATCTTGACCCAATCTTGCATTACCAATTTTATTCAAATTAGATGAATATAAATCCAACCCCTTGACCAATGGATCATTATTTTGTTCTCCAGTAGTTAAAATTGATCCATCTGTTGCTCTAGACAAAGCATGGTACAAAGTTTTTGGAGGTTTGAATTCTCCTGTTGTTGGATTGATTAAAGCTGCCTGTGCCTCTGCTGGTGTAGTAGCCTTTGATAAATTGGAAACTCTATTACCAAAGTTCTTACCGAATTCTGTGAACGACTCTTGTAAATTAGTTGGGTAGTCATAGCTTTCATTTTCATAGTTTGTAGTAATTTTTAATACATTCTTGTATAATTTTTCAATGTTATTACACTTTTCTGCCAATTCTACATACTCTGATGGTAGTTGACTTATGTCATCCACACTGACCTTACCCATTCTCTCTTGAACCATACGTGAGGTTCTTTGAGCTAACGGTAAAAATTCGTTATTAAAATCATTACTAAATTTATCACCCAAGTTCTTCAAGTCTTTAGTGAAGTTTGAGAAATTGAATGACATTGTTACACCTTTTCTAAATATCAATTTCTGTTGTTCTTATGTACGTTCATAAAAACTGTAACTCCCTTTATTTTAATTTTTGTCTACGAGGGGGCGCACGAGACTTCGTTCTTGAAAATCTCACTGCTATTGAGAATACAATTATAGCAGTGATTTCATAGTTATTCGAAAATAGAAAGCTAACAAATGCTACTCTCAGTATATTATTATATAACGCAGTTCTTTTGTTGAACTGTCTTCTGAATATTAACTAGTATACAATCATCAACTTATATAAATTCATCATTATCTAAAACCTCTTCTTCTAAATAATTCATTGATTGACAAGCTTTATATTCATCGATAACATTGACCACACTTTCCCTACACTCATTGAATAGGTCTAGTACTCGCAATCTTTCTTCTTTATCATTTGATTCTGTGTAGTAATTGACATAAGCTTCTCTTTTAGCCAAAAGATCAAATTGTTTAACCGTTTTACTAAATACATGGGCTATTGATGTATTATTGGAGATTTGGATCCCATTTAAATTCTTATGCTTTTGTTGTGGTTTATCACCATTAATAAAAGGAGACCTCTGGCAATTAACGACATGTATTGATGAAGACGTCCATGGCACGAATTCCACTCTCTGTTGGGCTCGAATGGTTCCCTTTCGTATTTCGAATTGATTCAAATTGTTTCCAATCAAATAATTTAACATGGAAATGTACTTTACAGGCTCATTGACCTTGTTCATTTTGTATCTATCATTCAATAATTCTAAGATGATGTCATATTCATTCAAGTTGGTAAAATTATACTTGGATATCTGTTGGTCAAAGTTTGATAAATTTGCAAAGGGTGCAATTGATGCTGTCAAAAATTTCAAATCTGGGGATGGGACTAAGGTTGACAATATCGATTCATTCGAACTATACATATATGTGGGAAATCTCAATGGGTTAGAAATACTAGCCAGAACGAAAGAAATCAATTTATTGGCGCCTTCGAATGCACTGTTACTCCTATTATTCAATGTATCCTTTGAAATTGACGATGAAATACCAAATAAGGAATTTTCAATACTATTAAGGGCGTCATTATCAAAGACAAATGTTCCATCACTGAAATCAATTAATCTCTTTAACGTTAACAATGTATTATAAGGTTGCACCACCACATCTGATGTCTTATCATTCGATGGAAATATCAGGAACGTATTTATCAATTTTTTACTCCCGTATCTGTCATTTAATAACTCAAGCAATAATGAACCCACTCCAGACCCAGTACCCCCGGCAACACTATGCATCAATTGGAAAGTAGATAAATTCTCACACTTGTCACATTCTCGATCTATTAAATTAATCAATTCTTCTTGATACTGTAAACCATATGAATATCCATATTGCCAATTATTAGCTGCTCCATTTCCTTGTTCACTGAGATGAATATTTCTTGGGTTGAACATCGGCATCTCATTGGTACATTTATTTATAACAGATGGTTCTAGGTCTATAAGTATTGATCTGGGAGTATATTTATTGGAGCTTGATAATGTAAAAAATAGATCTGGCCTATCTTGTCTATCCGATTTAGAAGGTTGCTTTCCTTCGCTTTCAAAGCCTAATCCTTCGTGTGGGCTTGATAATATAGTTCCATCTGGCGATATCCCATGTTCAGAAGCTAATTGATTCCAATATTGAAGACCTACTTGATTACCACACTGACCTGTTTGAAAGGTAATTGTTTCGCTATTTGGACAAGTTAGTATTTATTCAATCATATAATACTTCGGTTTCCACTTGTTTATACATACCCTGGCATATTTCAACACTTAACTAAGAATATTTTGGCTCCCTTATAGTAAACATCATAAAGAATAGGAATACAGCGCGTTAATCAAAACAAATATAATTTATCACGTGATGTATTAACTTTTAAATATAGACAAATATGCTACCATAGTTGGAGAAATATATGTAGATACAGTATAAGGTATCAATCAGTTTATCCC